TTCTGAAATAAAATAACTTTGTTATCTTGTTAATCAAATAACAATTGTTCATTGACTTTTGAAAATAAAGTATTTTATTTTTATTTTCTAGTGTTAATGATATTTTTCAAGAATATGGAGAATTAAATTCAAGAACTGTAGAAATCACTAAATGTGTGAAATATATAATATAGTTAGGGCAAAATTATTTAAGCGACAACATATACAGTAGAAAATAAAAATGAATTATAGTAATATTTTTCATTACCTTGGGTAATAGAGAAAATAGATATTTTGAAATGGTGAAAAATAAATGAATAGCAATTTCTATATTTGGCATGTATTGCACATAATTACTTAGCAATATCTGTAACTAGTGTACCTATGGAACAGGTTTTTTGACTAGCAAAAATTTAATTACTGACAAAAGAAACCAACTTTTAGATAAAATAGCAAGGGCATGCATATGTTTAAAGTCATGGTAGCAAGGGTCTTTAGCAAGCAGTAATTAAAATTTTACTTGACATGTAAATTTTGATACTATTTTTTTTTTTTTTTTTTTTTTTTTTAACAGCTGGTAAAGTCATGCCATATAGTTTTTATTTAATCATGAATACTCTCTTATGTACACAAATTTAATTGCGAGAAAATACACTTATGATAGAGAAAAAACTAATGACTCAGTATCTATTGAACCCTGCAACTTGTTGCAGTTCACCCAGAAGGTGAATGTTAGTGTGTCATGACTCCACTAACACTGATATCTATGTGAAAAAGTGAGTTAAAATGGAAACTGTTCTGTAGAATATTTTTCATGTTTCTGTTAGTGAGCTCTATATACAGTTGGTTGAACCCTAAGCTTCAATCTTCTGTCTCCTACTTTGCTTCACTTTCTGATTTCTTCTGGTTCTTCTTGTTTTTGTTTCACTTCATCTTTTTCGAGATTCCCTATGATTTTTCCCATTCTATCATCAATTCGCATCTCAACTTCAACACTTCTTTTTCCTCCTCCCAGAAGTAAGTTGTGGCTATATGAATTGCAGTTTTTGCGGCTTTTGGATCTCCCACTATCTCTTCTGCTACTTTTATCATTTGGTGTGTAATTACTCCTCTTATTATATCTTTCCATTCTATTTTATATGCCCTGTTTAAGTGTCTTGCCCGTAATGATAGTTCAAAGAGGTGTTTCCATCTATCTTGTATCTATTCTGTTTGTTTGTTGCCTTTTACTCTTGCTGCACATTCTTTTGTGAGGAAGGTCATATATTTTTCCTTCAGTCTTGTTTCGTTGGGTTCACATATGAATGGGTGGATGTCCCTTTCTTCCTGTCTTTTGCACACTATACAAGTTGGACACTTGTATAGTTGTGGTTTACGAGTGTTCAAGTTTGCCATTGTTGGGTGCTCATCCAGCCATGTTTTCCATCTGAAGGTTCTATCACTATGGTTCTTGCGATCAGTTTGGAGTAATGTTATTTTAGATGGTGTTAGTGTCTTCATAGTCATGTTCTAGTCTACTTCTTTGGCCTTCTGTCTGAATAGCCATTTTTGGCTGCATCTTAATGTTCTCCACTTGTTGGCCCATTTGTTTTTAAGGATAGTTTTCCCTACTGTCTTGAAAGAAAGGTCAATAAAGGACTGGTCTTATCTTAATGTTGTTATTGCGCTGGTAGTGTTCAGCTCCTGAATTTTAATTCTGTCTTTGGGCCTATTTACTATTATAGTCACTGCTAATTTGTCTGCTAGCTCATTTCCTTGATCACCAGAATGGCCCTTAATCTTGGTCCATACTACTGTGATGTTTTGTAATGAGATCAATTTCTATATTGTATTAACTAAACACCTATTTGGAGTTTCTGATGCTTGATTTCTCTTTCCTTGTTTTGTTCCTTTCTTTTTTATCATGTCGATTGCACATTGGCTATCTGTAAGAATGTTTATTCTCTTGTTTGCACTTATTGTGCTGATTGCTGTGAGTATTGCTGTCAACTCTGCTCGTGTTGAGGATGGCATGTCCTGTGTTTCTGCTTAAAACCTGACAATTTCTATATCCTTTTCTGTTTTGATCATCTATCCTATTCCCATTCTACTATCCACCTTTTGTTGCATATAGGAACCATCTGTATATATTTAGAAATTGTTGTGTGGGGCTATTTCTTGTGCTATCTGTTGTAATCTCCTGATTGTTCTTTCCGGTGCTCTGAGCTTTTTCCCAATCAGTGTTTTTGTGATAGATAGTGGGTCTAAGTATATTGTGGGTGGTGGAGTGTCTGATATTTGTATTCTGATTTTCTTCAAGGCTCGCTCTATGCCTTGAGGGGAGGACTGAAGTCTGTTGGTGTATGGCTGTCCTGTCCCCTCCCCTTGTAGCTTGGAGATACATCCCTTTGTATTCTTTTTTACTTTTATGTTAATTGATTGTGTCAATAGTTGGGTCATAATACATTGCTATTGGTCTTTATACTGATTCTTGTATTCTGGAATGTTGAAAGAGCAGCCTTTGCATTTATAAAGCTGTGATGTTTGTTTCTTTCTGATCATGTGGTTAACCAGGATCGTTTTGTCATTCAGTACTTTTTTCTTTTTTGTCAGAATTGTGTTCCTGTCCTTCTTGGTAACCAACCACTTGATAGTTGATTGTCTCTGATGTGAAAGTACTGGTATATTTGATTGGAAGCTGTTTGTACTTGGGCTACCTTTCTCGCTTCTATCTTCCTCCATTGGCTCTTCATTGTTGTCTATGCCTTTGAAGTTGTTATCCTTGGCTAGCTCTCTCAGGTCTCTGTACTATCGTGGCATTCTGTCCTGTTTGTCGAGTTTAACCCTTACTTGCTGCCAGGAGAGGAATCTTGTTTTGCTGTCATTGAGCAACTGGTCATAGAAGAGAATTCCTCTACATCTGAGTGAGTTCCTGTGCTTGTCATACCATTTCTCTGAAACTATGTCTTTGATTGCCGAGCCTTCCTTCTTGACTGGTTTTCCAAACTATGCATGTTCCGTTGGAGCAAGAGTAATTCCTTGTAGCTTCAACATATTTTAAATATCATTTGTCAAGTTTCTCCTTCTTCTGGTCCAAAAGGGAAGCTTATCTGTTAAGATTGAGGTGTTGGACCAGTACTCATTCTGAATATGCTGAAGTCTAATCTATATGGTGATCCCACTGAGATTATGATTATTAAGTCTGTTGGATAAGTTTTTTCCGTGCATAAGGATTTGTCTATCTCAGAGATTGAATATTTTATATCCAAAATCTGCGTGGATGATACAGTTGAGTATTGTTGCTAAAAATCCAGCCTTATATTTGAAAACTTTGTTGATTTTGCTGCTTATTTTTTCACATTCTTTTTCTGATAGGACTAGGTCATTTAACAAATATTTTATTGCTAGGAAGAGCACATGGTTAATTATATATCTCATCTGTTTGTCTATAATTTTCTTCTAGGCTAGTGTTCTTATCGTGATTTCTACTTTTTCTTTAACAGTCACACAATTTTTCACATCTAAAATTTTATCATATGATTTTCGTTTATTACACAAATTACCGCAGTTACATTTTACCAGTTTTCTCTAAAGTCTTGATCAAAAATAAATAAGTTCCTTAAAACAAAATTGTTACTAAGGTTTCTATGAACAAAACAATGTATTGAATATATAAAAATAAAGTTTTCTTATGAAATACAATGTCTTTGAAAATGACGAATATTTTTATCTTTTTTGTTAGATTATTCTTCAGTTCGTAAATTCTTGATATGAAAAATAGCTCAATAGTTACTCCAAAGTAAGAGCTTTTGATAAAATACATCCTTGAAAGGGTTGTATCTTATAAATGTGGCAAGGAAAATTAAGGACAAATGGTTTTCAACAGTACATAGATCACTTTCTTTATCTATTGCCTAATTTTTTTTTAAAACTATCTTATTTTATTACACCTTGTTTATTCAAATTAGATAATCGATAATATTATAATAATTCCATATTATTCATATCCTTCTTTGTTCTTTTGTATCGATTATACTATCGATTACGAATTCGTTTTGATATTCAATATTCTGTATATCGTGATAGATCATTAACTAGCCTATTAATGATTTCCTTGGGTAATACAGTAAAGTTCTTATACACTTCAAGCTGGTTTAGGATCTGTTCTTCAATAGCGTGGACTTGTGTGTCATATATTTTATTGGGCGTGATGTTTGGAATGGAAGTTCTATAGGTAAACTGGTTTCATATGATGGCATTGATTGTAAGTCTATATTAATTTCCCCAACTTTTATATTATGTGGTTCCGAAGTCTATATAGAACTGCTGCTTGTTTTCTCTACTATACAATCAGCCTCTATCCTTACACATTTCTTATTTTCTATAATCTTCATAGGTATTAAATCCCGTCTTCCTTGTTCTACCTTCACTTGTATAGTAGTATGATGAATATCCTGTTCAACAATAGTATTCATTCTTTTTATTCCCAACTCATAGCAAACAAACATTCGTTGGTAACCATCATTTGTTAATTGTGTACTTTCTGCAAATAAGCTATGCAATTCAGGTTGTGAATTACAAAATTCTGCTTTTAGTTTAGCAATTAATTTCCAAAGAACCTCTTGATGATTTTTAATAGATCGTGGAGTTCTATTCAATGATTGATCTTCAGTAAACTCTGAAATCAACAAATTTATTCAGTCATATTCTGCTTGTGCCATCTTAATATTTCGTCTCAAATTCTCTAGATTCGTTGTCTGGCCAGTCATATTTTCTTTTATGAACTTAACTCCGAACGTTTTTAAAGCCTCATCAAAAACAAAATAATGTCCTTCTTGTGTTAAATTAATAGAAAGTACTAACTGAAGATCTTGAAGAAATTGAGGTTTACTTTGAAGATTGGATAGGAATCGTGCTACAGACTCTGCATATCTTCTTTTTCCTGTGATAGAAAATAAAGGTGCGAATGCCATCAAGCTTTACATTTGCAAATTAAAGTTTGCCATGCAAATGCCAAGCTTATGCAATTTCAAATATCCTGCCTATCGGTAAAAATTATACCACACCTTTAAAAGATTATTATTTTCTTTAGGAACGTTATTAATATAAATATTCATTTCCTTGACATATAGATGGATCGCAACAGCTACCGCTATCCAAATAAGTTCAAGTACTCGAAATGTTGCCCGATAGTCAACAACTTGCTCAAGTTTATCAAAAAACTTAACACCAAGTTGTGTGGCAAGCCCAAAAAGCCCGTATCCCGAAAAAGTAGCAATTAGTGCACTGCATATTGACTTATTTGTGTGCTATTGTCCTAGAATGCAGCATACTGTCTGTTCATCACTCTTGTAATCTTTCATGCGATGATAAATTGCTTCATCACACACTAGATTTAAGATACCATTTTTCGTGTATCCAAAATCTTCTAAAAACATGTTGACAGCCCGATAAACATGTTCATTTTTATTCAAAGCCTCTCCTGGTTCAAGAATCACAATGTTTGGAGGTGTCACAAAGAATGTCGAGTTAATATTTTTCTTAATGGCTGCATCAATATGTTCGATGTCAAATGTTGACTCTAGATTGATCAATTGATCAAATATTGTATCTATCTTTGTTTGCCATTCTTTCATAATAAAACTTAAGCTAAAAAAATTCTGATTTTCTATTGGTTCCCTGCTTGAATTGATAAGCTCTGAATGTTTAAACTGAAAGATCATCCATAATGTTGTGTGTGCAGTAGTCCGAGTTACATCAAAAATATTGCCATATTTGAAGGTTTCATCCTTTATGTCAATATTGTCTATAGCTGCAATATTTAATACATTTGAATTTAGATTAAGTCTCAACCGAGGTTCTATTGTTGATGTTCTTTTTTTTTGAACACACACTTCATGATCCCTAACATATGATACTACTTGAACCATATGAAGAATCTTGTATAAAGATCCTATTATTTTTTATCGTTGACATAAGGAAGAAAGAACATGTGTTAACCAGATTTTATGATTGTGATAGGTGATAGTAAGTATTACGGAAAAGAAAAAAAAAAGAAGGTAGATTAATTTTTTTTCATCCAACTGTGGTGGAAGCATGTTTTTCTCTCTTCGCTTTCTAGTTAATAATTGCACTTTCTTCTTTTTTATAACTGAAATTAAGCCATTAAAAAATTAATGAGAGATGCTGATGGCATGGCATTATAATATTCCTCTAATGACTCTGGCTCTTCAAGTGATTGTGATCTCTTCTTAAGCTCAGATCGTTATTTTAATATAGAGTGGGCAAGTTTTTTTTCGAAGTCTATACATTTGATGATTTTTAATGGTAATATTTTTGCCTCATTAATTTTGATTTTTTTGATTGCGAATATTACTTTAATTAGAAAGACACTGAGAGTTGATGAGACAGTAGAAGGTATATTGATAGTATCTTATATTTTAGGTATGTCTGTAGTAATATTATCAAGAAATTTGATGAGTTTTTTTAATAAACTAACTTTTGCGATTTTATTTTTAGATTCAGCAGTCAGTTTAATCCATTTACTAAAAAGCTTTAAAGCAAGTATAGTATTATCATGATGTTGTCCTTGTTCTAAGCATGAAACCGAATACTTTCCTTTTCCTGGTTGAATGTGCAAGTGACCTCCATGCATTACAAAACAGTTTGTGCAAATAAAATGAGGATTGTTATTATTGATATACAACCCACGACATGGAGCTTGAATTATACGTTTACACACTTCCCTATGTGTAATGCGCATGTTTTGCCCCTTGTTAAAAAGCATTTATATCTATAGCAAAATAAGCAACGATGTGAGATAATAATACTTTCTTCACTTGATCATGATGCCTTTATACGTGTTACTAACTTAGACTTAGGTTTGTGTACAGTATTTTGATCATAGTTGAGGTGACGCAGGCAAATGCCTAACTTTGAAATATCATCTCCAACTTTTTTTACAGCCCAAGAATCAATTTTCCACATATCGGACAGTTGCTCTACACAACGAACTCCTGCATTATTACACCTTTGGATTATATGTTGATCATTATCATTGTCGATAATGACACACTATGTAAACTTAGTATTAGAAGTAATAGGAATTGGTCTTTCAAACTCTTCCCTAAATATTTTCATCTTATAATCATTCCCAGATAATTCATTATCATTTCCAGATAATTCATCATCATTACTAAATAATTCATTATTGCCCCCAAGTAATTCATTATCCGATTCTTCAATTATCTCCTATGCTTTCGTCAATGAATGCCAATCAAATGTAAGAACTCTGTCACATGTTTCCACCTCTTGGATATCATCATAAACCTTCACTCCATAATTGTGTAAGAATTCATTCATTTTTTAAATATAATTCTAAAATACACGTACTATCACTAACAGCTGATTAATCTATTAGGGTGGTGGGAATCTGAGTTGACATTAGATTATATGGAATAATCGTGACTTGTAATACATGTAGAAAATAATGACCTAACAGCTAATGTTATATATAATAGCACATATGCTCCCTAATACGAATGTTATTTGAAACTATAATAGATCTAACATAGTAGTCAGATAACCTACTACCTAGGATGCAACAGCAATGATCTTAAAAGATATGATAAAATCTGGAGGAAACTATGATAGATCTAACATAGTAGCCAGACGACCCATCGCCTACAATGATCTTAAAAGGATACAATAAAATCTGAAGGAAACTGATAGATCTAACATGGTAATCGATGACCCATCGCCTACAATAATCTTAAAAGGATATGATAAAATCTGAAAGAAACTATGATAGATCTAACATGATAACCAGACGACCTACTGCCTAGGATCAATAATCTTAAAGGATATGATAAAAGGAGGCTCTAGAGTTTATTCACCTTCAAGTGGACAGATAAATGAGATCGATCGAATGGCATAATGATGAATTCTTTCTATGCGAGCCTGGTAAGTATTTATTAGGTTAATCATATTAAGGTGATCCTAACTAATTATTTCAATTATTCCTAGGTCTGTGTAATGGGTTAATCACATGTAACATAGTGCAAGTACATAAAATTCTACTTTTTCGCTTGTTTTCTTTTAACAAAGATGGGATAAAGAAGAAATATTTCTAGATTTCACAATTTTCATTACGTTAAGCTGGTTTTTTTTATCAGCATGAAGTTTTCATGATTTTTTCAAAATGAGCTTTATAAAGGGAGCTTGTTTAGGAATAATCAATCTCAAATGCACATCTAGTAGGTTTTTTATTTAACTTTCGAGTTAGAGATTGTTACATTATTAACGATAGTGTCGAACAGGTTACCATTCATATGGGAAAACAAAAAAAATAATGACGATGTAGGTGCTCAATGTAAAGCAGCTTACCAATTCTCAAATTTTTTTAGATGTATATGTGCTAATTAATCTTCGCTTTAATTAAATAAGTCAATTTAAAATTAATTAAATTTTACAGTTTCTATTTAGAAGCAAGTAATTATAGTAATAATTATTATAATCATCATTTATATTTTTATTACTACCATTATTATTATTATTATTATTATTATTATTATCATTATTATCTTGAGCTGAAGTGTAAAATCCTCTCTAGTGATATCACCTTAAAATAAGTTTAGATCTTAGTGAATATCTATCTTGATTTACTCAGTCCCACTGTAGTATGTTACGGCTCATGTGTTTAACTTTTTGGAATAAAAGAATATATTAATGCCTGCTCTTAAGACTATAACCTTGGGAAATCTATAAGTACCTTCGTAAAGCAGTGAAGTGATATCAGATATTATATTTGCTAGTGCTGCATATTGAACAGCAAGCGATCTTTGTGAACGAGATTATTTTCAAGTTTATTTTCCATCCCAGTTTAAGCCTATGCGTAGTATGGTATTTATTTTTTTGAACCGTCGCATTATGTCTCATAAGTAAAGTTTCCTTCTAGGAAACCTTCGAAATCAAGAGTTGAAAGTAGACCACTATTGAAGTTCATTATAAGAAACAGTTATCTCATATGAATATCGATCTCTAAAAATTTATAGAAAAAAATTTACCCCCATGATCTGCGTGAAAAATCGTGTGACTGTTAATGATATTCTTTTGACATGTCTTTTTCCTATCTTCTGATATCCATACTCCCAGAATTCTTGTTGCTTCATGATGCTGCAGGAGGAGGATTCGTGTCACATTTAGTTTCACACTCTCCTTTCTTGACTCTTTGCTTATGTTCATGCATATTAGTGATGATTTCTCGCTGTTTACTTCAATATCATTTATCTTAAGGAATTCTGCCACTTTATTGAGAATTGCCGGCATGCCCTCTTGACTGTTCATGAACCATGTGGTGTTATCCATGTAAGCTGTTGCTATGATCTCTGCTTCTCTTATTCTTCTACTGGTCATCTCTCCTATAGTTGGGAGTGAGATCGAGAAGGATTTTTGTTCTCATTTTATATCCAGTATGTTTGTCCTTGATTTCTTGCAGCAGGGAATCATAGAAGATTCTCCATAAGAGAGGAGAAATGGTGTCTCTCTGATCAATTCCATCCTGTATAGGATAGTCTTCTATAAGGCCATGTGCTGTGATTACCTTGTTATTTCTATCCTTTAGTGTGTTGTCTATTATTTTGACTATTTTTCCTGGTACTCTGACTCTTTTGAGAATTTGGATCATCATATCTCTATTTATGGAATCATACGCTTTATTGATATCTTGACTGAAGATTCATGCCTCTTTTTTAAATTCTCTGACCTCTTCCATTACATTGTTTAAGATATGAATCGGCTCCTAGGTACTGCCTCTTGGTAGGCCTGCCCAGTTGTTTTCACAGAAAATTTTGTGTCTTGTGCATGTTTGCGCTAGTCTTGTCGTTATGATGCTCATGAATACTTTTCTTGTCATTTCCAATAAGGTGATGGGCCATGTGATATTAATATCACCCATCCAGTCTTTGGGCTTGGGGATTGGATATACATTTCCTTTCCTCCAGTTTTCTGGGACTTCACATGTGTCCATTATTTTATTGAATAGTACTGTCAGGAGTTTGATACCATGTTCCCCTAAGTTTTTCAGTTCCAGATATAGAATCTCTGATGGGCCTGATGCGCTGAAGCTCTTCTTGTTCTGAATCGCTAACCTTATCTCTGATGTCGTGATTTCCTGAATTGTCTCGTCGAACCAGTCATCTTGAATATTTGTCTTTGGCCTGTATTGCTGTTCCCAGTGTGGAAAGTCTTCTATGTTCAGAGTGCGTCTCGGTCTAGTCCAATCTTGAAAATGTTCTTTTATCTTGCTCTTGATCTCCTCTGGATCAGTTAAGATTCTAACTTCATTTCCTTCCTTGCGCTCGATCAGTCTCTGAGTGTCGATAAATCTTGTAGGTAGATTCAAATTACGTTTGATTATTTTCTTTGGATTCTCCTCCAAATTCCTGTATCTCTGTTCAATTTGTTTCTTGATTTTTTTTTTTTTTGCCTGTTCAATTTTGATCCTTGTAATTTTGTTCTCTGCTTCCCAAATCTCCTTGATTTCTAATAGCCAGCTATATAACTTCTCTCGGTTGTGTACTGTATCTTCCCAAAACAAGGAGGGTTCTGTTAATAGGAGAATCAGTATATTTATTTTGCTAATATCTTCCTTGAGTTTTATCCATGTTGTTTGTGACCTTGTGTTCACATTTGTAAGCTATGCTTGGCAATTTCTGTAAATTCTGTCTATTTTAATCTGTTTCCTCATAAACTTCTTATATTTCGATTTGTGTATGGTTCCTATGTTCTTCCGGCATCTCCTTTTCTTTAGGGAGCTTCTTGCAGCTGTTATTATTGATACTTTGAATTGTCACCAGGTCTCTTCTGCTGTCTGTCTATTGGATCTTAGGACTTCTCTTGCTCTCTTCTCCATTTTTGCTGTGAACTTGGCCCATTGTTTAGGTGTAGAGTTATTGAAGTCTATCTTATTCTGCTCATTATTTTTCCTGTTTACTAGTTTAAACCATGATGTAAGTGGTGTGTTTATCTATGTTATTACCATTTTGTGATCACTTTTAATAACGGTTTCTACAGCTATGTATTCTGCATTTACAATCTGTGGAAATAGGGGGCTGGAAACCCAGATATAGTCTAGCCTACTTTCATATCTTGACTTTGGTCTGTTGTATGTATAATTTATTGTAGTTGGATGGACTAGTCTATACATGTTTGTGAAGTTATATGCTGTCAGGGTGTCTATAATCTGTCTTAGCTTGACTCCTCTAATTTTCCCTCCTGTGCGGTCTAACTGTTCATTTGCCACCTTGTTGAAGTTACCCATTACTATAATAAATATATTTTTACTTTTTCCTTCACTAACTTTTGCTTTGATCCATTGGTGCAGTTTTGCTTTATCTTGCTTTTTTGATTTATTTGCCATATTATACACTGTCAGTATTCTGTATTGGATTTTTCCCCTGAAGGCCATGTCTACCAAGAGGTCCCAGTTGATACATTCTTCTATATTGAAAATGTGTGTTGCCCATTTCTTTTTCACCAACATGCTGACTCCCGCTCCATATTTTTGCTCATCCAGTTTCATTGACTATATTTGATACCTTCTCTCTTCATCCTACCATATTTGATTCACAGGTAGCCAGGTCTCTGTTATTCCTAGTATATCTATTCTTTTCTCTTGACAGTATTCTAGTAGTGCTATCTTGTCTACCTCTGTAGTAATTCCTCTTACATTGATTGTTCTGATTTTCCAGTTGTCCTGTTCTTTGTTCATTATTACTCTTTTTTCTTCTTGCCTATTAATAGTGGTGCTCCCTGCCTGTTCTCTAATCATAATTGTTTTGGAGATATTGGGGGATCTGTTTTGTTGAACCTGAGGCCTCAATGGGTGAGTCCAAGCAATTCATCATCTCTCTCATGGTGGATTCGATTGTGGATTCCATTTGATCAATTCTGTTATTGATCAATTCTTGTTGTTGTCTGATATCCATTCCTTTGGAAGATGGAGTTCTGAAACTTGATCTCAATGGCCATTGTTCTTGTTCAGTAGGTGACTCAATGATCTCTGGTCCTTTTACTTTTATCTGTGGACCTTCTTCTAGTGTGGATACTCTTTTGTCCAATATGTGAACCTGGTATTTAATAGCATTCATATCCATCTGGAGCTGTCTGATGGCCTCTATGAGTGTTTCCAGCTGTGCTGGTGGCCGTGAGAAGCCTTTTGCTACACTGGCATATATTCGATTTATGTTGGTTGTGTACTCCATGGTGGTTTTCCTCTCTTGCTTTGTTGGTTGGAAGCCTTGCCTTTGAGGAGGGTGAAGTCTTGATTGGTCTAGTCTATTAGTTCTATTCCTTTGTGTTGG